CTTTAAAATATCCGATTTCTGTATTTATCTTGTCATCTTAATTTTATGCCTCTCTTATCGAATGACTGGGCAACCAATCGATCACATACATCTAGTACATATAAAACAAGGAACTTTCAATAATAATGAAGGAAGAGAACAATCCACTTGAAATCGCGCAGCCTCCCAACACTCCGACGGCCTCACAATCGTAGTGTGAAACACTGTAGAGAAAAGTTCTGTTCAAAAGAGAAGCACGTGACGTTTCATTCCTGGTGGCATAACAGTTATGGGTCAAGTTCCAAAGATTCTAACTTAGAAAACTAGTTTCGTATAATTGTCAGAAGACAGTTTCAACGAGCCAATTTAAGGTCACTTTAGCCTTCTAAGGCGACAAATTGTTATCCTTCATCCCACCTTTCCATAAAGGTGGAAATGATTAGAGCCACTATTACAAAGGACTTTTACCAGCACATTCATTTATTTGCAGGTGAATCAAAAAATTCGTTCAGCTACGGGCCATCCTACGCCCTTCCTTCCCCTTTCTTACCCTCTTCAGTAACACCACATGCTGAGAGCCCCATAATATCATCTTGGTCTGTCGCCTGACGTTTTGATCTCCATCCATTCCCCAATCCTAGCACGCCGGCCATAGGGTAGATATGACCACCAAGTCTAAGTAAATACACATACTTTGCTTGTGCCTGTGAGGCTAGAAATGAGGATCTGGGTAGAGGAAAAGGATCGAATTCAATTGGCTACTGAGAAAATGACAGTGACTAGCTGATATAATTAGGAATGCCATTGATTGAGAAGTAAATAAAAGGAGATAATGTACTTCATAACTCTGCTTCGAATATACGTGATATCCAGGTTGACTAAGACGAAGAGCCTCAATGTTCGTCCAGGGATAAATAAATTGTCTAATGAATTAGAATAGCAAAATGAATCACAAAATTGCACTTAGATGACATGCAATTATCAAATCGAACAATTGCTGCTGTTTACAAATGGCAGTATTTGCCCTGAGCTCATTTATATACGTAAATGTAAGTCACCGCTTATTAACTCCGAAACCATACTGTTCAAGCACTAAGAAGAAAATCAATCGAAATTGTGTATTGCAACTAATACTGCAAGTAGCATTTACTTTGAAATATGTACGCAAACCAAATAACAAGAAGGCGGTTGTTCTTATTATTACTAATGGGAGGGCTTACAACATCGATTTTAATCATACAACGACACATTTACACGTAGAAGAAATTCAAATTAGATCGAATATGAATCCATAAAGAAAATATGCCATACCTTTCACTTCATATGTATTCTGGAAGTGGTGAGTTGTAATGCAAAGTATCAGATCAGTAGCTCCATTTTAATGACTCAATTCTTGTTTTCATAGATGAGATAGTGTCTCGAATAGCCGGAGTTAACAAATTAATTCCATTTGTTTTTTGTGCTATTTTAACACATTTTTGGCATTTGTCATGAACATTTAAAAGATAAGAGAGTATAATAACTTTGAAAAATCATATTTCACCCCTAATAAAATAAATAAAACTACGAAAACAAATTCTTCGCCGTCAAAGAGCTTACAATTACGGCATTATGCATTACAAATGGTTGGGGAAATATGTAGCTGCAGAGTGAAGTTGGTGAGTGTAAATTTGAAGACAGATCTCAAATTAGAGTTCAGTTGATACTACTAGCTTGACTTTAAAATCAAAACAGTAGTTGTTACTTTCACTTTCGAGATGATAGAACTGTTAATTCAATTACCTCCAAGTGATGCAAGTTATATGATCATTCTTAATTCAACATTGAACCAACTGTTGTGAATAAATATTTCACCAAATGAATATAAGAAATGGCAGAAGATCGTTAGATTTTCAAATAAAATAGAAATCATGCAATCAAAATTTCGTTCACACAATTTCCAAAAAGGCAATTCTGACATGTTAAGTAGCGACCTTTGAATTATGCACTTACCTTCACGTAGTCCATTGACGTGAGTCGGGATTGCATGCCAACAGTTCTTGACGAAGGAAATCATTTCGAGAGGCATGAATGACTTAAAGGGTTTGCATTCACATCTTTTTCTACGCATCTACTGAAATAAAATAAGCATCCGTTTCGCACAGATTTAAAGGACACTAATTGATCAAATTAAGGCTTAAAGATATCGAAAAGGACAAAGGAAGCTAAGAGATAGGCAAAAAATTTATACATTATAGCCAGGCGATCGAAATGAGTCGTAAACATTTCACCAAAGAGGCATGCATGAAGGTGACATTGCCAGGCGTGTCTTCGAAATTGTCATCTATGCGCATAACAACATCGGCCTGTGTTACTAACATGTAATGCAAATTGTGCGCACATTTGATCGAGTTGAACAATTGTCACAATCATTTGTGGGTGTTGATGCTGCTGAACCGGGTCAGTCTCTTGTTAACCAGGCGAATTTCGTACACCGAAACCTCTGAGGTTCAATCAAGACATTCAGCAGGTGGAATTTTGAGTAAGATTGCGTTCACGATGTTCAGAATCTTCTGAACACGCGACTTATACATTTCCATACAGCAAATTCAGAATTTACATGCTGATCTCCACAATTCTGCAAAGTGCAGAGATTGAATTTCAAGCAAATGCATTCAATAACATTGGTCAAACATCCATTTCCAACATTCGCCTAAAAGCAAAATTAACAGTGTATTTACAAGAAGTAATAATTCGCACATTGTAGTGATGTGACACTTATCATTTGTGCCAAAGTCAGGGTTCACTAATCGAACGAATGATAAAGTCGATAATGCAAATGAATCATAATTAAAAAGTTATGCAATCTTCATTTGGCTCAGTAGAAGACCAATTTTTGTCCATTCACTCATTTGACAACGGTTTTCAATGTGCAAAGGTCATTTGGCATAGCACTCCTCACATTTCCCCTACGTTTATTTAGTCATAATCTAAAGTTCGCCCAAACATATCCCTTAAATTTTTAGAGATTTGATCTAATTATGTGCATTTGAATGGAATTTACATTTGCTCAATAACCACCAAATTTTGTATTTTCTGTGGAATAAATATTAAATTGAACCACCTATTTGAGTTAATTCAATTAATATATGCAGCAACTTAAAACTGTGTAGTGATTGCATAATTAAATAGAGCACTCTCACAGGCCCATGGGAACTCACTGCCACTCTCGTGTAGACCTATTTCCAAAAACTGAACGAAATTGAGAAATCACTTGATAGATCTAGTCTGTTGCCCAAATAATGCGAATTGAAATTTTCCAGTATTACTCGATTATAGAGAAATTAGAACACAATAAAACAGGTTTCACTTAAACGAAATGGTGTTATTTATTCTGCTATTTTCTAATATTTGAGAGGTCAACAGAATAATTTTCATGAAAGGCACAAAAAGCATATTTTTGTACCCAACTTCTGGTTTGCCTTTATGCGCCAATGTTGTGACATTGAAAATTGAAACCTTTAGGCTTCTTTGTGAGTGATAAATGGTAGAAGAGTTTTACATGTAATTGTAGATAATTGAAACTTAAATGGAAACTGAAATGATTCAACACATGGAATTGCTAAATAGTGGCATTTAAATGCATTGTGTATCAAGTGCAGTTACATGAAATGCAGGCATATTTTAAAGTCAACATGGCTTTCCCATTGGCGTAACATTTCACTCAATTTGGGTCATATCAAAAGCCTGCATCTGACAATTAGTCAATGAAATTGATTGTCATTTGACAATTTCTTAACATTACGATTTCATTTGCTTTATTTCATGCAGTCATGAGTGATTAATTCAAATTTTTACACACAAATCCATGTTCAAGAGTGTGAACAAACGATCATTTTCATCATCATCACCATGTAGACACTCTCTGAGAAAAACTTAAGGAAGTTTAAACTAGATACTTTAAAGTCACTTCATTTCTGAGTAGAGACTTGCGTTTCGAACATTTTTTCCCCAAAAATTATCATTTTTTTGTTCTTTTGGAAGAGCGCGAATGGAAAAGACTTCAATAATTGTTGAAACGGAGGATCAATACAATTGATTGTTGGGGTGGGGGGATACCTCATATATCAGAAAATCATTGATCGCATTTTTATATTCAGCAAATAGGGTGTTCGATAGACTTACCTTCACATGGTGCACCCTGGTGCACCGTATACTCATACGGCAAAAAATTCTATTAACTGGCAGTTGAGTTCTGACTTCAAAGTACCATCACCCCACTGTATGCCATATTTTACCACTTCCGCAGTAATCATCCTACCTTTTCTCTGCCTTTGTGTCTGTCTCTGTTACATCTGTGAATCATTATTAGGTCCCCCTCCATACTTTTTGTCACTTTGATATTCATTTTTCTCTGTAAAGTCTGAAGTCAACTAAAGGGCTAACGATAACTATCAAAACGCATAAATGAATTTTCAGCAAATGACATCAATATTGCTGGGTGGCAGATAATTTAGCAAAATATATGATTACACGTGTTTCGCAATGAACACTTCCCCAAATAATAAATTTTCTTGTCAAGTTCCTTTTTATTAATTTCCCTAAATGATACTATCAGTTTAGCTCTTCATCGGTCGTCTTTGCAACAAGAAATATAATTTTCAGAACCTCTACGTAACTCAATTGCTACTACGAATACCTTCTTAACAGTTTGCCTTATCCATGGTTGAGCAAAGGTTAAGTGATATCAGCTAAATTGTCCATGAAAACATTATTTGGCTACTTGATTTAAAACAAAAAATTCATATACCTCATTTCAATAATTGAAAATATATTATTATTATTATTATTATTACTATTTCAAATGGCAGGCTTTATTGTATTTATCATTAGCCCTTAAACTTTGTCGTCAGCTTCTCCCATGGGTGAGGGGTACATATATAACAGATCACTAATAGCAGTTCATTAGCTGTCTTCTTGTTTCCAGTATATCTGCATTTCCATCATTGTCTTTAGGGCTGGACACCGGATTAGGTGGGTCCTCACCATTTCCTCCTGTAGGGTACATAGGGGGCATGTGAGATGAGTGTATGCTCCCAATCTGTGAAGATGTATTGCCAGACAATCATGTCCGGTACGTAGTCTAAACCCAGCAACGGCTTCGATTCTCGGCCAGTCGGCTATGTTGGAAAGTGCCACTGTCCACTGTTTCTCCTTTGTTCGAGCTTTGTGTTCGTTGCACCTTGAGATCTTAAATTCTCTTCTGATTAAATTTTTCATTGTGTGGAAAGATATTGGCCGGTCTATTCCTTGCAACATCGTTGTCTCCTTCTTAGCAAGTGCGTCAAAAAGCTTATTGCCTTTAATGCCACAGTGTCCAGGAATCTACTGTGGGACCACTGTTTTCGTTTTCTCTCTGAGCACCTCATAGAGTTTTCTATATTCCTTTATCTCATTTGTTTAGGGTGGCGCTCTGCTTTCAATTAAGTTAATTGCTGACTTTGAGTCCAAAAGTATCACCGCTTTGACACATTTCGTATCCAAACAACGTAAAGGGCTTAGTACTATCCTAACGGCCTCTGTTTCTCCATCGAAAGCGGATCTTTTGTGCCCCGCTTCTGCGTAGAAAGAGGAATGTTCAGAGTAGATACCTGCAACAACGTTTGTTTGGTTTTCTGTGTATGACCCATGAGTGAAGACTTGGAGCCATTGATCTGCAGGATAGTAGACATTGATTGTCTCAAGAGCCAGTGAGCACATGTGTTCTGGAGGGGTGTTTGATTTTACTGAATTAGTCAAGCAGTTGGGTGCAGCACACTACATCAGTGTCTGCTAATGGAATCATGTGTTGAGGGTGGCTTTTTGGTTTGTCATCGATTTGTAATTCTTACTTCAGTCCTATGGTTTTCTGTATTAGACAAGATTGCGTTTTCAGATGTCTTGGTCTATTCTCATAGGTGCTGAAGAACTTATCCATGGGGATGCGCAGTAGCTTCTCATACAGGATCAAGGCCTTTTCTTTGAAAAGGGAACATATTGAGGTGCTTCCTGTAACCAGAATCATGGCATCAATAGTTGTTGACTTTATTCCTCCAGTAATAAGTCGTAATGCCTTGTTGTGTACCTTTTTAAGTGGTTTAAAAGTCACCCCTGTGGCTGTAATGAGTGGCTATCATCAATATAACATTAATAGCTGAATAATCATCTTGCAGGTGGTGTTAAGAGTTGAGCATGCACCACCCTATACGCTACCTGCAAGACACTTTAGTACATCCAGTTATTGGAGACTATTTCTGCTATTTTAGCAATGTGACTTTTCATGTTAGCTTTGTGTCAAACACCATTCCGAGGTAAGTAAACTCATTGGTTTTTCTAGGGTAGCATCCTTGTACCTAAGAAGCAGGTTTATGCTGGTCGGGCCATTTGACAAGCTAAACGGAATTCATTCGACAAGTTCATCTCAAATATCAATATCAAGTGATAGCCAACACACTTTCAAATTCCTGGATAACATTCAAAACAACTAGGAAAGACCCAAGAAAGAACCAATACGTTTAAAAAACAAACTGCGCTTCCTTGTAGATTAGCTTAAGAAACTGCGGACCTACGTCGATGAAACTAGCCGTTTCGTGAGGTACTTGTGAGAGCATGACCAACAGAGATTTCAGAGATGGATGAGTTATTGGTCGACCTTCCTCCAAACTCTCATACTCTTAACCATAGCCGCAAATTTTAAAACCCCACCTTGTTAATTTCTGGCAAAAAAATATATCAGCTGCGCCTGGCATTCCTTTGCCCTCTATCATTCACTTTACTGTTGGATTTGATGGCTGCTTAATCATACCAATTTAGCATTTAAGTTTGAAATTCCATTGCGTGTCCTTCTTTATAATTTATTCAAGTCACCAACTGTGACTTCAAGTCTTGATAGCTCTAAAACATGGAAAGCATTCAACTGCAGAGGAAGTGTGAGTTATAAAAAATATACGTTGGAGGAAATTAAATGGTAGAGTTAATGTGGGAAAGGTGGTTGGGAGGGGGTGGAATGTGGAAGAATCGCACTCACTGGTACCAAAGAAGGAATACGATTGAAAGTCTGTCCTCGAAGACCGATGTTTACTGCAATATTTCCAGAAGACGCTGAACAAAATGAAGCTCTAATCACCTAAAATTTTTTTTTAATACGACTACATTCCTTTTCGAAAATTATGCAATATTGTTCAATACAATCATGTTAGTTCTGAAACTGCAAACTATCGAGTTGAGCAATTGAACTAAAAGAGTAAGAATCAAACGAGATGAGTGGAGAAGAAGACAAGGTTTAAAAGCGCTGAGTTGGTCAGCTTTCAGGAATGGGACATAACGCAAGCTGCGATTTGATCATGTGTTGAGAACGATTCTGACAAACTGATCTCTATAGTTCGGAATGGGTTGACGTTTGTAATTTCTGGAGACCGTTGATCAATTCATCAGATGCAATATCGAGCCATGTTCGTCCACATCCTGGCAATCTGCCAAATCCATATTTGAGCAGCTCTCACGACTTTGTCAATTGCAATTCTAGGCCCAACATCGGAAGCTTCTCTACGATAAACACTTCAAAAATCTGACTGCTCACTTCCCACCTTTGAAAGATGAATTTAGGGAAAACAAGAAGAGCAATGATGAAAAATCTGGTTGGATGAAGAACAATTCGCGTTACTATAGGTGCAAATCTGAGACATTGACTCTATATGTTAAGCAGCTGAACGATCTCCGTAAAGTCATTGAATGTGATTGGGATATAAGCCACATACTACAATGGTCTTTGACATATGATCAGAAGCTTTGTGACGCTGTAATGCCTCGTAGGGTAATGTTTTTCTACTACGGATTCTTTGGGGAGTACCTTGGAATCTGCCGTTTACAGAATTCAAACTCCCATAATTCCAAACCCTGGACCGATCTCCATTCTTCATTAATTCTCTACAACAGAGTCGATAATGCCCATGTGCCTATAATATTTTGGACTCAATGAAGAAAATCTGTTCAACCTGACATTTGAACGCAAACTTGAGACTTTCAAATATGTGGGAATATTGCGATTTATGGAAGTTGAGATGTGTTGTGAATGTGGAGAGAAAGGGGATTGAAGGACACAGAGAGGCATGAATTAGCTCAGTTGGAGCAAAGTGTCGACGTGATAAAAGAACAAGAATTATTTTAGCCCCGTGCATAAGTAGATCTAAAGAAGGAAGGAAGGAAGGTAGAAAGGAAAAAGCAATATTGAGACCTGCTTCACAATTAATTCACTGTATGTAACTGTGCTCGCCAGTTTTCCGCAGGTCCATTGGAAGCGCTGCCTTGACATTTATCAAATACTGCAAAGATTCCAACACCTCAGGTCTTATGCCCTTGTTGAGCGCATTGTCAATCCATTCTCTCCTCAGTCGACGGCAAGCACGTATAGCAAACCGTGCCGACTCATGATATGGAGCAATAGCTTGAATCGCGCGAACATATTTGAGGCAGAAAATGAGGAAAGCCTTCTTGGCGTGGAGGGTAGACGAAGCAGACTGTATAGTCCTTTGACCATTTTCTAGTTTCGCCACGAATTTATCATAAGCACATAAGGTTCTGTTCAGGTAACCAATGTGGCCAATGCAACTGTAAGAAAAGATGCACCGATTAGTGAGAAGTTTGGAAACCAAATTTAAAATTCGCATGAGGTGGTGGTGGTTGTGACGATTGACAGTTGGGCATGCAATTTTCATGATAGCGTGTGCTGTTATTTCGCAGATCACGCGTAAGCTGAACAATGCGAGAGTGGCTAAGCTTTCCTCACCTTATGGTCTAATCAATGCCACACATGAAAACTAGTCTTCGACGGTTATCGTCTGTGTGATCTCTCACACTGCATAAAGAAATGGTGAATAGAAGCGTTGGTCCTTTCTAGTATAATGGAGAAGTAATATTGGCCTAAACTCCGTCAATTCCCAAACAAGAGTGGCTTTATTGATATATCATGGATTATCCATAACAACTTAATTTTTTGCATTCTTCATGCAGTTCCCCATTCTTTAATCTGTGCACGGCCCTGTTATATTCATTTGTGCTTTACTCTGCCACCTTATCACATCACAAGATTAGTGCTTACTGCTCCTCTTTTTGTCTGCTCCGAATATGCCTCCTCCTCCTCCTCCTCCTCCACTTCGCTGTTCTTATTTTGAGTACTTAATTTGAAGGTGAAGACAGTGCAATGGCTCACCACTACTTGGCCTCCAATCTACACTTTCTTGGCATATATACACAAGGTAGTTACTGGCCCAAGCTGAGTATGTGGAGGAGATAAGAATGCTGCTCATGAAAGGTATGACCGGCATTTGTGACTGTGTCAAAAGAGAAATTGAGTCCTCGATTCAAATGTGCTTGTAAAATGAGGCATCAACTCAGAGCAACTATTTACCTGTCATAGCAAAATTTATACCTTCCTCTTCTGCATCTACGGCTTGGAACGAAGGTCTTCATTTTCTCATACGCTCTTAGACGATTACAAGTGCCTTCAACAGTTGGGTTGACTTCACCCAAAATATTGAGAAGTGGTCCATTATCGAGAAGAAAGGAGATAACTTGGATCCTTGCGTTGTCTTTCAAGTAGTTACGACCCGTCACTCTTGTAATCCACTCAATTGTCCTGCAAAGGCCGTCCACACACCGTTTTAGAGTCGGCAGCAAATTGACAAAGTTGTCTCCGCTAAAATTTAAATAAGAGTTTTAGAGGTATTTAAATGGATAAAGAAGAGTGTCTCGAAGGGACTCGAAGTAATTTACTATTTTCCCTTTGGCAAGTAATCAAGGTACTTAGAGTGTGGAAATCAGCTATCTCAAAAGCGCTTTTATGGAGAAGTTGCTACCATAATTGCTACGGGTGTTGATTTCATCTCATGGCACGTACACGTGCAGTACACGAGTGCTATCAACCGCAATTTCGACGTAGATAAATCCATTCGTTCGTTTTCATGCCTCTTGGGAAGACAGCAGTAGATCTAAAACCTTGCCAATGGACAAAAGGTAGCACCACCTCAACCTTGAAATTTCTTCTAGAGTACTTTGAATAAATCACAAATACACCTCTCAATAAACCACATTCTTGCCTCCTCAACCAACAAAAAAGTGGAAAATCTACAGACTCGAACCATTTCTGCCATCTACATTTCTTCAAATAATGTTTCAAAAATGACAAAGCGAATTCGCAGAAGAGCGCCAATGGCATAGTAAATTACTTACAGTATCACATCTAATAGGGGTCATTAACATCAAAATTCAAAACAAAATGAAGAACGAACCGAGTGAGAGTAAGGGAGAGAGAGAGGAGGGATAAGCCCATGTAAACATTTGGTCATACATTGTTTCCACTCACAACCTTAACACTAATTCATTCATCCTCAATCTCTCTCCCTTACCCTCCCAGAGAGATGTTCTTCATCATTAATCCACTTAAACGCACCTTCATCCTATTCAGTGGTGAAACTAAAAACCTGAATCAAGGAATAATTAAGAAAATGGAAAAGTAAATGAATTGAATTTGAAGAGGACTGCAAGCTCAGTTCCACGACGCCTTCTGTATTTTCAAGAAAATGTAGAGGGAAAGAGAGAAAGAAAGAGAGAATGAAAGCGAATGAGAGTGAGAGTGAGAGAGAGAAAGAAGATGATGATCGTATGTGACCATTTGGCCAAACATTGTTTCCACTCACAACCTTAATACTAATTTATTCATCCTCAATCTCTCTGAGGTAGATAAATCCATTCATCCGGTTTCATGCCTCTTGGGTAGATGACACTTCATTAATTCCCATTTTCCTCCTCCTTATTAGTAGGATTTAGTACACCTTTGACAGGATGAGGACCAAATTGTGATTTCCTCTGAAGCAACCCACCACGAGACGTGAAGTCAAAATTGTACTCTCTACACCACTATTTCCTATGCAACTCTCGAATCATGGCTAATGCTCTCAATAACTTTGAAGACTGAGTGTTACTCACCTCTCTTCATCCATACGGACCGTCGATTGGACGTTGCCTTGGTCCGTTGATGGACTCTGCGAACTTTCTTCACGAATTGTTTGCTCACTCGACATACTGCCGTCTGCTACTGTGGCGCTGTTAAAATGAAATCGATCGCTCGTCTACAATACTTCTATATATACGAAATTACAAGAATGCGAAATGAGGTCATTGGTTATCTAATTTGATTGGATGTTACGGGTTTTGCCTAAAATAATGGCCTAATTACTAATGAACACATCACGAAATGAGGTCGTTTTAAGGGCAACTACAGCTGCAATAATTGTCATTAGGTCGATTGAAATATCGAATCTAGGGTACAAGCGTTGTGAGGTGAAGAAAGAATAACATTATTGTTGTTGATGATCATGCTTGCTAGCCATTTTCATAGGCAAATTGAACTATGTTCTCCCAATAAGCTTTGCGGAGCCCTTTGTAGGCAGTGTTCGTATCCTCATTCAAATCGCGTTTGCGAATTGGAGGGACCAATGGCGTGGCAGTCAAAGTAGTATGATGTAATGACATGCAGTTTTTACGATCCTCTCAGAATGTCTGCGCCTTTTGTAGGTCCTGAATCACTTTGGCTATTTGTCTGCTGTTCTGAGTGGTAGATGAACAAGTAGGCATACCCTTTGAGGCGTCTGGAACGAAAGCATATGGGACATCCCAGATATGGTAGGTAATGTCAAATGAGGGCTCTTCGTTTGGCTCCCATGGCAGGCACTTGTCTCAGAATTTATGAAAAGCCGTCTTAGCAATGTGAGCTATAAAAGCGCTCACTTAATTGCCAATCCACAATAAAGTTCGAAAAATGCGCGCAAAGGTAATTTGCAGTTCTTTTCCAGCAGATTGCTAAACAAATGTGTCATGCGATATCCACAGTAATTTTCCTGCCAAAGTATCCTGGTTTGTTTAGGCGACCTGAATTAGTTAACCTTGCTACAGGTTAGGCCTCTAGTGAGAAAAGAGTTTATTGAATTTTGGGATCATGTCAAATACGATTCGTATGTGGAATAGCTTTCACGTAATTTGAATGAACATTAAAATATGCTTAGCTAAGAAGACCACTCCTCACACCACTTCAGTTTATTCGAGTCAGAATTGGGTATCGTAGAGTGGCGTCTAGGAAAAACTACTGCAGATCCAGTGGCGTTGTAGCCGGAGTTATTTCGATTTTGAAGGCTCTCACTTTCACTTAATCGAAACGTTTCCAAAAACGGTAGCTCTACAGGTGAAATAGTAAGAACCTGAGCAATAATTTACTCACTTTGTAAATTCTGGTTTAGGTTTGCACCACCAGCTGATGAATCAGCATATTGTTTGGAAGGTTTCAAATCCACGGTCTCCTCCAACTAATATCTCTGCTCTTCTCTTCCTCCTTCTCAACCTCCCACAGATACGATTTGGACTACATCGGATGTGTTAGTGTCATGCGGCAACTGCTCAACTCACTTTGCCTTATTTTCTATTGCTGACTACTTTAGATTTCAAGAGGATGAGACGTTTGCTTTGAATGGTGGGCCAACTCACTCATTCATCTTTATTTACTATCTTGTGGTATTTTTGAATGCCACTTGGGTAGACGCAGCCTCCACAGAGTAGGCACAGACATCCCTTGAGGCGTGTGGGATGGAAGAACATAGGTCCTCC